CAGCTAGATTAGGTCTACTCTCTCTCTCTCTCTCTCTCTCTCTCTCTCTCTATATCTGATTGCTGATCGATGACTTTTTCAGATCATCAATGGGTGGATGATTGTCGTTGATGTTGCAAAGACAAATCCGCCAAGATACAATCGGGACCGTCCAAGAACGATGACCTAATTATTCAAAAAATAGATTCACGGAAGATTAGGCGGAATTGACAGCAGAGGCATCAAGGTTTCTGCATACTTCAAGAACGTCAGCCTTCTGATAATTCAGTAGAAATAGTAGTGAATGTTCGAAGATGTCAGCTCTTCCTGTAAGAGATGGGTTACTATTAAGTTGATGGGAGAATGTGAAATTGCCTGGTCCGAGCTTTTGTATATTTTTTGTGAGCTCCCCCGCTGCATATTCGAAGGGGAACTCCAAATATTTGCAGTATTTTGAGTTCAAAAGACTAGCCAATTTTTGGGTTTAATATATCATGAGTAATTGGTGGTGTGGACCAAAATTTAGAGATCCTCTACAATGTTTCAGGAAAAACGTTTATATAAGGATGAGGCTCTAAACAATCGAATTAAGGTGCACTAGAAGAGGTTGTTTTGATGCTTAAAATTCCTCAAATCGATCATCTTGATCTCAAGATGTATGAAAATGAAAAAAAATTGATTTCAATTATTGGAAATGGTGCAGTTTGTAATGTACTTTTTGGACAGTCAATTTTCAATATTTTCAAGTGTTTATAGATTTATTTGATCTATATTAATTTTGAAGTTTTAAATTTTATAATTAGAGATAAAAATAAAATTTGAGGGTATCATCAAGATTTCCAATATTGATGCTATTTAAAGGTGTGTTTTACGTTACTTTGATTCTTTAGGACCTCAGCCTTATACGAACCACACATATTTTAGAAGCCGGTTTATTTTATTTTTTGAGTTGTGATTTTGAGGATCCAAATTTTGGCCTGGTGCTTAAGTATTGAATATTCTCATTTCCTTTGTTTTTTCAACTCCTTTCTGGTTCCTAGTTCTTAAAAGTGTAAAATAAAATATTAAATATATGATTATTTTTTAAAATTTGAAAATAACAAATATTTCTTTTTTAATTACAACTTTGCATAATTTATCATTTCCATACCAATAAAACTTTCTAATTGTATGCTATGAGATCCTTTATCTTATTACAAGGTACTTACTAGATATCAAATCGGACGGCTTAGGATACGACATGAAGTTCAAGAAATCTTTTCTCTATTATAATATACTTTTAGCTATTAGATGTCAAACTAGATGGTTTAGGGTATATGTCAATAAATTTTTTTTTGAATATTTAGTCTAATAAAAGATTATCTGATTTGAAATTTGAAGGACAAGAGTGATTGTGATTATAGTAATTGTTTCATGTGGGCTGGACTACATTTGTGCAATATGTGGTCTAGAGGTATAAAGTATCCATCTTAAAAATTGATGCAAATTGGTAGTCCATCTAAAAACAATTGAACCTAACGGTCCAAATGCTTTCTTGATAGAATTATTATTTCTATTTTTCAAATTTATTTATTTATTTATATTCATGATCTCTATGTTAAACATTATATATTCCTTAAAAATTAGGATTAACTATTTCAAAACTAAATTTATTAAGGGATTCGCATTTCTACATGGTAACTGCATCCTTATCTAAAATCTATGTAATAGATGTAAAAGAAGAAATGCAACAATAAATCCCAAATTTGACGTGTAAATTCTTTTGGATCCTCCAAAGAAGCCTATTACAAAGAATATGGAAACAAAAAAATAATTTGTGAAAGCCCCAACAAATTCTTTTCTTTGAACTCATTGAGCAAAGGCCTTCCATTTCATGAGTTGCTGGATTGTGAGGCCTTCAAGAACTCATAATTCATTTTTATTATACTTAAATTTTTTTATTTCTTGAAAATGAAGCAATCTACATAATATGAGATCAGAAGGAGTAGACATAATTCCCCAAGCTAAAAATATTTTTTTTCTCTTTCCTAAAGTGGCAAGCCCGTATTTAAAATATTTTCTCTCCTCTTAAAAATTTAAATGTTTCTCTCTATTATGGAAAAAGTTTATATAAGGATGTTACCTTATAATGTAGAACTATGGATGCCCCTCAAAAATCCATGGGAAAAGGTAGTTTTAATGTTGAAAAACCCTTTGTTTGATCATCTAGACATCGAGATGTATGACTATGAAAAATAAAAAGATTTTAAGTCTCAGAAATAGTGCATTTTACAATATATTATCCACACCGTCTATTTTTAAGATTTTATATGTTTATAGATC